ACCAAACCAGAGTTGGTGATTGTAGGAAAGGCTGACAAAGACGGCCTTGGTGAGTTTTATTTAGTTTCAGTCCAGTTTGAAGTGTGTTTTACGAGTGGTACAAGTGGTTTTGTCAATGGAGTCTGGTCATTAAACTGTAATTAATGAGTGATTTTGTTCTATATTAGTTTTTAATTATAATGGTTGCACTGGTTGCAATAACACACCGATATCATGGAGTCTTATGGAGAAATGAGCCGACAATGAAACTGATATTCTCGGCTCAACAGTAAACACAACCTGCTGGCTTTAAAATGATCAGTTCAGACACCTGTGGGTGACATCATACCCCCTCCAGCCAATGTTATTTACACTTTATGATGACATCATCTGAAGGTGCGCCGTTACCTGCTGGTTGGATTTGCCTGTGAGCTGGAGGCTCAGATAGGGGTCGTCCAGTAAAGAGCTGAGCAAGGCATCCTGGGAAACATCAAAAAGAAGTCTTGGTTAACCAACAGACACTAAAACTAAACTTTAATGAACATTTTCTCCTCCTTTTCTCTCCTGTGGATTTTGCATGTGTTTTTCCTGCAGTTCCCTGAATGCATTAGTTTTTATTTTGTATTGTTTCTGTTCTGCTATCTTTAAAATGATTAGATTTATTGTGTGCAGGTTTGCAACATGAGAAGGATGCATCCTGGTGTCTGTCTGTTTGCTGAAAGGATGATCAGATTTCAGAGTCTCTCTACTCAGCAAACCTCCAGAAATAGCATCAGGTGCTTTTTCTCTTTCATTTCACCTCAGCATTACATCACACATAGTGAGCACGACACCCACGCCTCCCTGATCCCGAAAGAGATCAGAGAAGAGCTTACTTTAACATTTCTGCCTGTCAATTCATGTATTTTTAAAATGGAGCCCGTAACATGAATGAAAACATCTTATTTTGTTGTTATTTTTGCATCAGGAGTAGAGACAATTGAACTAAATCAGCACATGTGCTCATGTCACTAAATGGCACCAACAAAGACATAAGTACCGGTCTATACACGCGCATGATCATCCACCATAACACCGACACTTTAAGAAAAATGGAAATATGACAAACACATCAACAGTAAATGATTGTGTCTGTCTGGGTTACACAACTGAACTGGTTTGTACAGGGAGAGCAATAACACTGAGCATGACCAAATTAATAAAAATGATTCAATCAGCTAATCCAATCAGACATTTCCACTTACTAAAATAGTGCAAAGGCATCCGCAAAGTGACGCAGTGTTTTTCTAAGAGACCAAAACAGATTCAAGCTGCTTATGAAACCAAATGAGTTGGTCACGTTGAGTCTGGAGTCAGTAGTTATTGGTGTTTGCTCCATAATATCCATCTGATCAGCGGTTGTCCTGTACTAAGAGAGAATTAGTTTGCATTGATCAATGTGGGGGTTTTCGGAGCTTAATAATACTGTAAAACTTAAACTGCCTCTATTTGAGACAGGCCTTTCATTCCTTTTGCACAAAATCAAATCAAAAATTCTATCAAATTGTTTATTGAAACCAGTTTGGTTGTCCATCACTCACCCGGTTACCTGCTCACTATATAAAATGAGTATATGATAATAAAGACAACATCTACATAAAATCCAGTGATCATTGTGCCTGCTCTGTTCTGAGGGCTTTTTGGAAGTTAAGGCAAAAAACAACCCACTATTATCTAAAAAAATTAACAAAGCAATAACAAAACTGACTCAAGATATTTGTCCACATGATAAAGTAGACCCTGAAAACTTACTTTCAACTAAAATTGAAGTTGAGGCCTTTTGGCTTTCGAGAGGTATTGAAAACAAGCAGACCCCACGGTGCAGGTTGTTTATGAAGCTAGCAGACGGACACATGATAATATTCACAACCTGGATTCATTTTCATGAATTTGTTTCATTTAATTTTGGATTCTTTTGGTCAGCAGTGGTCGGCAACTTTTTTTAACTTTGCTGTTGTAGAGTCGTATAAAGGCGCAAATACAAATAACTATACTGTGCAGTTACACACATATATATACTTAATTTCTTATAGACACATTCTTAAGATTATATTATTCCTGCACTGTACATTCATAGCCCTACATGACCTTTAAATGACACTATTGTATATATTCTTTATCCTGTGCCTTTCTCTTTATTTCTACAGCGTGCCACCACCTCCTGCTGTGACCTGTTCCATTAATCACATCTGTATATAGTGTACATACATAACTCTTATTCCTTTATTTGTTTGGATTTTATCTTATTTAATGTGTATGTTTCTAATCTATTGTGTTGTATCTGGAGCGGCGGTGAATGTCCCCAGTGTGAGATCAATAAAATCTGATCTGATCTTCCATGGCGGTCGCAGGTGAAGACTGAAACTGAGAATGACCTGTTTAAAATCCTGTGTGGCAGACAGAAAATGAAAGATGTGAACTGGGTTATACGAAGAAAAGGAAATATGCAATGTTTTATCTTTCTGAAATAAAAAGGATCCTTTAATTTGATTAAAGAAAATATATTTTGTAGATTTTTATCATAATCTCATTTTGTTAGAAGAAATCATGAGAAAATCAAATATTATCTTTTTGTGATACTGATGGATTTTTGTTGTGTTGTAATCTATTTTCAGACATTTGCACATAAAGCAGTGCTGGATGTTTGAAATACAAACATAAATAATAATAAAATATACTATACACCATTTGATGCACATGGTGATGTGTTTTTTACACTAAAATATCAAAATATATCGTCATCATTTCATGTGACCCCTGTATGATCAGTACGTTGTCTGTCCAACACTCTCCCATTATGGCTGTGATAAACAGTGCAGCCTGTAGGGGGCACTCACGGGACTTGAGATTTGACTGTTACTGTTTGAGTGGAGCTGGTCCGACCTTTTAACCACCCACAGCGGTGAGTGTTTCTGACGGGGCTGAAGTCACTCACGTTGTAGAATTCGGAGGCCAGGTTGTGGCTGATCTGCTGCAGCTGCGGGAGGCTGCCGGCTCTCTGCTGCTCCGTTTCCTGTTTGACGTGACACTGAGAGGACGAGGAGCTCTGGACGCACTGATCCATCGCCCTCTCGTTCTTTATGAGCTGCGCGTTCGCCGTGTTCACCTGCTGCCCCATCGGCCTCTGCTGCTGCAGAGAAACACACCATAATCGCTGCGTAAGCTGAACTGCACAGGTGAGTGTATGTATTGTATGTTGAACAAATGCATCTATCTTTATCTAATCCATGTAATCTACTAATCTGGACAATCTCATCTCCTTTCATTTGACCCAGCGGCCTACCGTTCCAAAGTGCTGCTGCATGTGCTGGTTGTGTGTGTTGCGCAGGTTCTGCAGGTGGAGCTGCTGCATGGACTGCGACTGCTGCTGCTGCTGCGCGTTGGGCCGCGGCTGCTGGAGGCGGTGCAGCTGTTGGTGGTGGTGCTGGCCCAGTGGAGAAGGCTGCTGGCCTGACTGGGAGCCTTGCAGACCAGAGAGAGGCTGGTGGGGGCCCGGCTGGTGTTGGTGGGACTGGCTGAGCGGGTACGGAGGAAGCCTCTGGTCCAGAGGCAGTTTGCTGGTGTCCAGAGGGACGCCCTGTGGGAAGGGAGGGTGGATGTTAGCACCATTCTTCAGGTGTATACTCCAGTTAGTTAGGGTGGCTTCACACGCGGCGTATTTAGGGAAATTAATTTTCAATTACGGAGCTTCAATCAGCGGCGCCGCTCTTTGATACATTTCAAGGCCTTTGGTAGAAGTTAGTGACGACTGATCAGTGTGTATCAGTGTGTGTGTTACCTGTGTGATGGAGGACAGGGTGGGGGAGATGGTAGGGGAGAACTGTTTGGTGTGATGTCTCCGTGACTCCACTCCCATGGGCAGGATGAGCGGGGAGAGCTGTGCTCGTCTCCGTGGCGACGTGCTGAGTGGCGGCTGGCCCTGTCCACTGAGCAGCGGCGAGTAAGAGGAGGAGCAGGAGCTGGAGCCGCCCACTCCGCTGCTGTAGCTGGGGTTACTGCTGGACACCGACTGCAGGGAGGAGTTACTGAGGGAGGAGTGCAGCGATTGGCTGCTGAGGGACGACTGCAGGGAGGGGGAGGAGCTGAGGGACGACTGCAGGGAGGGGTTGCTGAGCGATGAGTGCAGGGAGGCGGAGCTCAAAGAGTTGGAAAAGGAGTGGCTGCTGAGCGAAGACTGGATGTTGGGGTTGCTTAGTGACGACTGCAGGGAGGGGTTACTGAGCGTGCTCTGTAGAGACGCCAGGAGACCTGAGGAGGCAAAAGAAAAACACTATGAACACAAACGTACTCGCAACATCCACAGAGACCAAACGGTGAAGAGGGAATGTAACGTAAAGCTGCAACCAATATTTATTTTCATTAAGTTTAGTGTCCATCACAATTAGCCATTAAATGCCCCCCCCATCATAATTCATCATTACTGCCATCAAACTCTGCAGCAGTGTTTAAACTGGCCCTCGTAATGTACAATACTGTGATTAAAGTGAAATACTGTGGTCATTAATACTGAAGTTATCTTGCACACTGTTCTGTTTTTCATTACTAGACTTATTCAAGGATCCAGTTCTCAGCATTATTAGTATTTA